TACTTAATAAACCGTAATGTTTTTATTACCTTAGAATGAGACATTTATATCTTCATAACCGTGGGCACCCCCTATGAAGGTCGACATATTGTGACGTTTCTACCGTATTGTGTTTCTACCGTAGCCGAACGCGAACACACAGCGCTACTGAGCGCGTTTCGTCACTACCTTGAAAGAGAAGCCGCAGAAAGCTAGAAGCTAGCCATAGACGCCGTGAGTAGTGACTTTTCCCTTGTCAGTGGTGTAAAATATGTAGTTGGATTGTTTCATGTAACTTAGTTCTTCTCCCTCGTTGTGTTATGGCTTTGCTATGTGGGGATAAATGTGCTGGTTACGTTCGTGAGACAGCTGATTAGTACTCTTGTCATTGACCGTAAAACAGTATGTTACAGGAATCACCAATCCGTCGATTGCGGTCGACAAGTCGATCTTGGAAGCATTTTAAGTCGATCGCGAAGAGTTTTCAAAATCAGAGAAAAAAAGCCTATTGTGTGTAGTAAGTGGTGTCTAGGGGATGCGGAGGCGCGCGCGCTGTTACAATCATGTCATTTTTGCCGCACGCACCTTTGGGCTCATGCGGACGCGTCGAGTTTAAACAAGGCTTTACACTTTAACCAGCTCAGCCACAGTAACAGCTCATATTTAGCCAGCTAAACTTTTACTACCCTGTTAGAAAAAATATATAGTTGCATAGTTTCATGTGGTTCTTCTCCCTCGCTGTATTATGGGAAACTTTACTGCCGTACCATGAGAGCAGCAGGCGTAATGATATGACGCAGCGCCTGAAAATAGTTCCGTTGTGTTGACCTCTATGGTGTTGACGGAAGGTAGCCTATTTTCAGGCGCTGCGTCATATCATTACGCCTGCTGCACTCATGGTACGGCAGTAAAGTTTCTTGATTATTACGCAGGAATGAGAGTATAGTTCCTAGCCATATCAGCCTAGAAAATCGCAACTTTACATTTTCCGTCGGTCTTAGTGCACGATGTAACTACAGAAGAGTCAAGTTTTAAATAGGAAAAATATCGAAACCCTTTGGTCATTTTTTTTTGAGAAATGCTAATGGTCTTGTCCACTTCAATGATGTATGCTAAGCTATGCTAAAAGTGGTACCGCCAGAACCGGAGATCGGCTGAATGGATTCAAAAACGGTAAAACTCAACAGTTTAACTCTGGGGGAGTTGTAAAATGAGCCTATTTCCAAAAAAAGTGGAGTATCCCTTTAAGGGCCCGGGTGTGCTCGTTGTACCACGGCATTGGACTGTTTTCTTTAATCTTCTTTAAGCGCAACGGAGCAACTGTGTCTAAAGTGCTGGGAAAGAGAGAGTTACAAGTTTCTGTTGCAATATCAAGTTCTTCTAAGCTATCCGGGATGTTGAGATGATGAAACTGATCAGGAAGATTATTAATAAAGCAATCTTATAAACGCAACACTTTTGTTTTTGCCCCCATTTTTCATGAGCTGAACTCAAAGATCTAAGACTTTTTCTATGTACACAAAAGGCTATTTCTCTCAAATATTGTTCACAAATCTGTCTAAATCTGTGTTAGTGAGCACTTATCCTTTGCCGAGATAATCCATCCACCTCACAGGTGTGCCATATCAAGATGCTGATAAGAAAGCATGATTATTGCACAAGTGTGCCTTAGGCTGGCCACAATAAAAGGCCACTCTAAAATGTGCAGTTTTATCACACAGCACAATGCCACAGATGTTGCAAGTTTTGAGGGAGCGTGCAATTGGCATGCTGACTGCAGGAATGTCCACCAGAGCTGTTGCCCGTGAATTGAATGTTCATTTCTCTACCATAAGCCGTCTCTAAAGGCGTTTCAGAGAATTTGGCAGTACATCCAACCGGCCTCACAACCGCAGACCACGTGTAACCACACCAGCGTGACGCCACACCACAGCAGGTTTCCTGATGTCAACGTTGTGGATCGAGTAGCCCCTAGTGGCGGTGGGGTTATGGTATGGGCAGGCGTATGTTATGGACAACAAACAGATGCATTTTATTGATGGCATTTTGAATGCACAGAGAAACAGTGACGAGATCCTGAGGCCGATTGTTGTGCCATTGATCCACGACCATCACCTCATGTTGCAGCATGATAAGGCTCGGCCCCATGTTGCAAGGATCTGTACACAATTCCTGAAGGCCGAAAACATCCCAGTTCTTGCATTGCCAGCATACTCACCGGACATGTCAAACATTGGCCTTTTGTGTACATAGAAAAAGTCTTAGATCTTTGAGTTCAGCTCATGAAAAATGGGGGCAAAAACAAGTGTTGCATTTATAATTTTGTTCAGTGTATATATAGATATCTGCAGTCAGATGGGTTTAATGCAGAGGACAAATTCTGAGTACAGATTACCATACTTGGCCTTCATGTCTTGTCACTTCACTTCACTTAATTGTCTACCGCCTTAAAACTGTTAGTGTCCCCCCTATAGCTATAACAGCTTCCACTCTTTTGGGAAGGCTTTCCATTAGATTTCTGGAGTGTTTCTGTGGGATTTTCATCCAGTAGAACATATGTGAGGTCAGACACTGAAGATGGAAGACAAGGCTTGGCTCGCAATCTCCATTTCAGTTCATCCTAAAGGTGTTCAATGAGATTTGGGTCAGGGCTATCTTTGGGCCAGTCAAGATCTTCCACACTAAACTCATCCAACCATGTCTTTATGGACCTTGGTTTGTGCAATGGGTCACAGTCCTACTGGAATAGAAAATGGCCTTCTCCAGACTGTTCCCACAAAGTTAAAAGCCTAGCATTGTCCAAAATGTCTTGATATGAATTCACTGAGCTCCTCAGGAGGGCCCATTTTTTTCACAGATGTTTGTAAACGCAGTTTCCATGACTAGAAGCTTGATTTTATACACCCTTGGCAATGGGTCCGATTGAATTCTATAATGAAGAGGTGTCCCAATACTTTTGTCCATTTAGTTTATATAGATATCACTTTAAAATGGAGGTAACAGAGTTGCAAATTTAAAAGCCTAAATAAATTTCAACTGAAGTCAAATGTTGGTTTGTAAAATTTCCCGTTATTTGAAAAAGTAGTTTTATTTGTGCTTACAATACCTCTCAAGTATATGATACAGAACCGCAACTTTGAAAAATACATCGCATGACACTTTCTGTGAGCTTTAAGCATTATGTTGCAGTTTCTTAAGCAAAGGAGGAAGGTACTTTCCATGAATAGGTTACAAAAGTAAAATCAAAAAGCCAAATGTTGGTTTGTAGTAACTGATGAAATTTAATCAATGCTAAAATATGTGTAGTATCCTTATTCACTTGTCATCTCACCATGTTGTGGAAAACGTCACAATGAGGTTTCTGCAATAACAGTAAATATTTCAATATGCAGTAACAATAAATATTTGAATTAATATTAATAAATATTTTAAATGGTTTTATTTTTTCCTGATCCAACAATTAATTTGACCTCCGGCGGGTACAGACAATTTGCGTTTAAAACAATTAATATGTACCCTATTTATAGAACATGCCTGAAAGATATAAAAAATAACCACAAACAAAAGGTTCAAAATGGAAATTAATTTTGTCTCTTTATGCAGTTATTTTAAACATTACAGTTAAATACATTTGAATGACATGGAATCGAGTTTATCACAGAACTGCGAATTTTTAATTCCAGATTCTGTCTAGACATCCTACACAATCTAAACACTACAATCATCCGCTTCCTCTGACAATGGCAAATAGGCACAGGAAAAAATATATAATAATGAGGAACTGATCATAAAACCATAAATCACTCTTTTAGACCTGGAATCCTTTATGGATCTGAGCCTCACAAAATATTGCACAATTTGAATTGAAAAAAAAAAAAAGAAAAAAGAAAAATTCCAGAGCCTGGAAGCCTGCCATATTGTTGCATAGCCTTTAAATGACCTTCCCCCATCCACAGTCACAACACAAGATATTTCTTTATTTGTTCTCTTGCTTTTAGTAAAGATTGTACACATGGTCATGTAGATCAACAAACTTGTCCTGTCATTGGACAGCCACCGATCTTCTCAAGTCAAACACATGGACAAACCACAACAAAAGCAGAATATGAAAAGACAATGGACTTATGGATCAGTGACTTTAGCTGAAGGGCCGCAAAGCTGTGAATATAACAGTCTGACATTCACTGCTTACGTCTAATTCTAAATAATATCTGTTAAAAGTAACGACAAGTTTACTCTTGCTTCAGTTGTCCTGTCCCATGACTTTTTTCTCTACTGGCTTTGAAGCCTCTGGTAAGGCTATCGACACCAATGTACTTCCTAAAGATGGAAATACAAGGTTAATGTTCGGTTTTAGAAGCATAAGGCAATAATCTATACACCTGCTCTCTCAAAGCCAGACTTGACCTGAAGAAAAACCAAAGACTCTGATGAGATCGTGCAAAAGACGAAAACGTCTGCCTAAACTAATCACAAGAACAAATGTCTCTTGATGAGGATTAGAAAACACAGAAATGACCCCATGACAGTTTTCAAAGAGGATCATGTTGAAGGAGGACTTATTCTGAGTATAAGGATTCTGTCGTCACCTGTCCACTTCTTTGACTGGCAGTCCAACCTATATATCAACATCAGAGCACTCTGACCATGAATAGCATCAAATTCAGTGGTCAAACTGCTCCATGCATATGATAATAGCATACCTGAACACACCGGCATGAGCTAGATAAGGAACATTTTGGTGGCTTGCTGTAGTGAACGAAAGTAGTAGGGGCCAAAACGTCATTCTAAATGAATTTTTACTGCTGTAAGTACGCAGCGTTAATGTTATCATTAGAGGAATGGAAAGAGAGCCAAAAATAACCCTCGCACAAGATGTGCAAAGTGTGATGTGTATTTGGATTTAAAGCAAGATTGCCGCTCATGCGGCCTGCTGACACCTGTAGCTCCATAATCAGGAGCCACAAAAAGTACCATAATTGAGCGATACATCACGTTTCAGACTGAATACTCCCTGTATTAAAAGAAATAAAAAGAAAAAAAGAAAAAGAAAAAATAATTCACATGTAAAGTCTCCAAATTATCACACCCTCACAACATGGCATCATTTTGACAATTCACTGCGTATTTACTCTTAAGAATATGACTAGATGGCGGAAGTCTGCCTCTGCCCTCCTCATGTTCACGTTGGAGGTTTCCAGGATGTTATTAAATAATTAAATAAAGCTCCATCACAGCTTCTCCTCTTGATGCCTTCTGGATTAATTTACAGAGAGGGGTGGCGACTGCAGAGCGTGGATTCATTTGTTCCGAATGGTGGAGACCGAGTGCCCAACTCAAGCTGGGGCGGAGTGAGAGTCCGAGCTCTCGCTTTTGTTCTTTGCCTTGTCGTCCCAGTCTGTGGCACCCATGCACATTTCTGCAACTCTGCAGTCTGTGTGTGAGGTCATTGTGGAGGAAGTGGGATTCGTTTCAGATTCCACCTGCCCACCTCCGCCACCAGGGGGCCCCAGACCCTGAGCGCAACCCCGCCCCTTTATGTCAACCGCAGGAGCATTGGCTGCGCTAATGTTTCCGTCTTGGTTCTCTCCTGCTGTGTTAAGACTGTACAGCTCTGTTACACCTGACATTGGCTGCTGGATCCCTCCCGGCTCCAAAAGAGTCTCGCCCAGGTGTGTAACAGACAGAACGTCTGGGCCAATGGCAATCTCAGCCATCCAGTCGAGGTCAGAACTGGATGGGTCGATGGGCAGACCGGGATTTACCACCAATCCGTTGTGGGTTTCAAGCTGAGGTTGATCCTGAGCAGCTTGCCGGTCCTGGCCGTTAACGTTCGCATTAGCGGCTGCGTTACCCTGGCCGGCGGGCGCAGCATTGCTAGTGTTGTTGTTAAGATTGTCCTGCAATGCAGTCTGGTTTCCTTGGCCCACCTGCTGGTTCTGAAGCAGCATCTCCTGGATCCGGATCTGTTGCAGGATGGCTGGCAACTCATAGTGGTGGAAAAAATAGATCATTGAGTGCTGTGGAAGACAAAAACGAAAAAGCCCATGAGCTACAAACAATTCCATCCAAATCCACAGATTTCCCAATTACATAAATAAAAAAACTGAAATACGATACCTGAATGAAGAGCCAGGAAGTGACCAGAGCCAAGCTGCTGTACTGGCCGTTAAAGCGGTAATGATACGCATAGAAGGCAAAGTGATACAGATAAAAAAACCTGCAAAACAGCACAAGAGATGCTTTATATGAGGGTTTAAATGTTCAGCTTAAATGTGTGATGTGAATAAATCGTGCTCATAAACCTCTTTTTATGCTTGGACAGTAGAGGCGTGGACCCGGAAACAATATTCCTTACGTTGCGACTCTAACGTCACCCTCTATCCACTTGTTAAGTTAACAACATTATACTTTCAAGGCATAAAGAATTTGGTCCCACTCTCTTCGACCAATAAACTTCTATGACTACCGGACAAGGATTTTTAAAACTCAATCAAAAAAGTTAATCAAAGTTGTCCCAAGACAAGAACGGGTATTGTTCAAAATTCACGTATAACTCTGAGGAAAGGTTTTGATCCACTTCAAATGTTGACTACTGTAGTTTATGCCAAAGAACCATTCAGATTATTTTATTTATCAAACAAAAAAGCTAACTTGTCTTATTTATCAACTGCATTCCTGCTGTATAGGTAGGGAGCTCACTAAGTTTTGGAACAGAGACAATATACACCACTTCAGTTGAGTTTTTAATAGGCTGATCCGAGTAGAGTCAACCTACAGTCCCCATTTCCCTATCTCCGATTAACAACAAGCAACAGATCATTTCCAAAGGATAGTAGTACAGGAGCTGTGGGGAGCATGGAGTGTATGTGGAAAGGAGTATGCTGTAGGGATGCACCGAATATTCGGCCACCGAAAGACTTTTATCACCGAAACAATACGTGTTGTGATGACGCAAACAGAAACCGCGACCTGCACGTGCTTGTCTGAAGCAACGTGTCTGCAATGTGGACGCATTTCAGTATATCTGAACCGATCTGATCTATAATGATCAATAAGCCATTGATGTCTGGATAAAAATGACCCCCTCCCCCCATTTTAAACATTAATTATAGCCATCCAATGATTCCGTCATTAAAATTGAAAGCTATCAATTTTTTTTAAACATTAATCATGCTTCAAAAAATAACAGCTTTTAATTTAAGTGAACTTAAAACAGTCCTCACATAAACCCATAATAAATGTCATATTTACCTGTGCCCTTCCTGTCTAACAGGTAGGACATATACAGAAATTAAATTAAGTTATCAAACAGTCTGCACAAATTCTAAATGATATATAGACTAATCCTTATTAAACGCAAGTTCTTTAGTCAAGAGCAGTGAGTAATTTTCTCTGTTCCCCTTGTTCTTTGATTAACTTTACTGACAGAAAGTTGTATTGGCTCCTTGCCCTTTAAGGGCAGCCGTTGCTGACAGAGACGCTGATCTCACACGCGCCTCATTCTCTCACAACACTTTACGTCCATCATAAGACTGCTCTTGTGTTATGAAGACACTCAACAAATGACATTTTGGCATAATTGTGTGTGTTATTGTTCGTTCAAGCGCGAAAGAGAACTGTATTCTGGCGCGCGGTCTGTGCATGCGCATGATACTGGCGCGCGTCTTTCCGTGCGAGTCGTCAAAAACATTCACAGGCAGCGTGCTCTCTTTTGACTTGTCGCGCATGAATGGTTTAAAGCATTCGCATGAATAAGAGCGGGATCATGGAACACTAGCCAAAGGATGACAAAAAAATAACAGATGCTGCGTTAAAGCAGCACTAAGTAGGAATTCCGTTTTTGTCAAAAAGCGACCCCTAGAGTCGCTGTGGAGTACTTGTACTGTCGTGAATAGCACTCACGCAGAGATGGCTCGCACTCACGGCCGGATCCCCTCCCCCTGTACACCGGTACCTGTTCAGTAGGATGGACGCTGTAACGAGTGGAAATAAGGTATGGCCCCTTTAAGAGCAGCGCGCGCCCAACACCACATGTATACGGCGCCGGGTTATTTCTGTTTGATGCTCATTTTATCAGAATTTTATCAGATCTGTTTTTTGCCGTAAAGCAATTCGTTACCTCGCGAGACCTGATATCACACGATACTTCCTAACACTGAGGCCGGCGGCCCGCCGGCGGTCCGCCGGCCCAGTTGCAAGGGTGGTTTTGCGGCTCACAGGCACCAGGGGGGTGCGAGACGACCACCATTCAACACGAAATCAGTAATATAAACATTACAATGACTCCAAAGCTGTTCGGTTAAGGTAAAAAAGTTACTTAGTTCACCTTTAATAGCCCTTTTATTTAAAAATCGCAGCGTCATTTTGCGTCATATAATCACATAGGCTTGACATCGCGATTGCGATCTGATTAATCGTGCAGCACTAGTGCAATGTCTTGCAAAAGGCATAAAAACTAATATTTTGTGAAATCTGAATAGAGAACTATCAAAAGATTTGTCAGTGATTTAGAGCACAGCAGACCTCGGTCAGACTTAAGGAAAGTGTCTGCCAAACAAATGAATTGTATTAAAAGGGGAGCTATAATAAAAAAGCCACTGTTGAGCAGCAAACAGCTATTTGGCCTCTGCCACCCCTAACCAAAATGTTTTTTGCAGTATGGGATAGTGCGTTGTCCTGCATGAAAATCCTTTTATTTCTGAAGACAGACACTATTCTTCTTTTTATACCACAGCAGAAAATGGTCAGCTATAAACTCCACATAAGTATATTGCAGAAGTCATTTTGACACCCTAAAGGGACCTTCCATCTCACTTCCCAATATTCCAGCCCAAATCATCACCCTTGCTGAAGTCACAGTATTGTTGGAACCGGGTGGCCATTCACCAATCATCCAGAAATCCATTTATCCATTTAGACCAGGGATAGGCAACGTCGATCCTAAATTGCCACTGTCCTGCAGAGTTTACACTTGGTTGGAGGTGAACTTTGCAGGACCATCCCTGATCTAGACCATCCATTGTAGTACGGCATTAGTCAGTGATTAAAACCATTTTAAAATGAGTCTTCATATATTTCAAAACTAGGGATGGGCATTTTTCAAAATATATTGTATTCAAATATTTGGCCTCCTAAAAAAAACAACAAATATTTGAATATATGCTTATTTGAATGAGGTTTAAGACTTTTTTTTTTATCATTACGTTTTTGTCACCATTTCTGAACAAGCTTATGATTAGCAAATATACACAAGCTTACATTATATCTTGAGATTTTCTTTTAGTTGAAAACATTAAACAATGTGTGTAAACAAAAAAACAGAACAAAAGCATTTAAGCTAAAGCAAAAGTAAAATAAAGCTAATAAGGCAGACTGTATACATACAGTATACACTTGAGTCAGCAAATGGTTATCGTGTTTATATTGTTTTACATGTTCATGTTGAGAAAAAAAAAGAATATCCACATGATCGGGTGAAAGTTGGCTCCTCAGCCTGAAAACAATAAGGCCGGGTGCAGAGAAAATGGGCTCCGCTGACAAACGTTGCAGGGACACAAAGATAGTGTGCCAAGCAAAGTTTCTTACAGTGCTTTGTGTTTTCTGTCCTTAAACCCGTCTCCTCCGTCGAAACTTAAAGGAAGCATATGTCTCGAGATCATTTTGCTATCATATAATCTACTCGTGAATGCAGTGATGGACAGCTGTCTTTCCTCATTCGACTGGTGTTTGGATTTCATGATGGTGATATTTATGATAACTCAGTATCACACAATGTTGATCCATTTGATCAAAAGTAATCATTTTGATCAATGTAATTCCATACTTTGCTGTGCCTAGAGGCAGATGATGACATTCTGTGATCAAATATAATCAACTTGTTAACAAGCTCCACAGCGCCATCCAGTGTATTCAGTTATAACTGTGAGTTTTAGTTTGCGTACTTAGGATATCACTGCATTTACGGACAGCAAAGCAGCATATGAAGCAAAATTCGAATAATAATTACAGATTGAACATTCTTACACAACCTTATTCAAAACACAATGTAAATGTTTCTCTTTGTGAGCTTTGGTCAGGGGTGGCTGAAATGCAACTTTATACACAACTGTCAGCCTGCATGGAGTTCTTGGGACTCCAGAGACACCAGTGGCTTCAAATACCCGTTTCCTGCTCAACAGTGGGTTTTTTTAATAGCTGCCCTATTAATACAATTAATTAGTTAGACAAAAACTTTACTTAAGTCTTTATCTGACCGAGTTCTGTGCTCTAAATCACTGACAAATCTTTTGACTCTATTCAGTTTTCACAAAATATCAGTTGTTTTCATGCCTTTTACAAGACATTGAAGCATTTAATCTTAAGAAATTTCTTTCTTCCATGTTGCATGAGAACTGTGACTTGCTTAATAATGTGGAATGACCTCTTTAAGAAGGATTTCCATTTACCCAAGAAGACCTGGCAAACTATTTAACGAACCTGCCTGAGATTGATTCCAGTTATCTAAAAAGATATTAGAAATAAAACAAACTGAATGTGTATTGTAGTGAAATCACAGTGATATGTCACTTGCATTATAATTTGGAGCACAATGTATATTGCTATTGTACAGTAGAATGTACCTCTCAAAGTAATTATATAATAATAATACAATTAAGAAAACTTTAAGGAATAATTTTTCTTCCATGTTTTAATTTGAACAGTGAACCACTGTTGTACAGCATTTTGTTTGCCAAAAAAGGCATTGTTTAATTTTCATTTGATTACATTACAAATTTATATAATCTTTTTAAAAATCTGTTATGCCTTCATTTGATTATCACTGTTTTTGATAAATTTGTATTAAATCATAAATCCAGGAAAATTAAAACCTCCTCTAAAATTATTTCCTCTAAAAAAAATAATAAATGTAAACGCTTCATAGTGCCCTATTAGTGTTAAAAAAAGAATTGTATGAATTAAGTTGTTAAAGTTGTATGAATTCAATTAATTAGACATTCTTTTTGATTCATAAACACAATTTGGGAAAAATAAAACTGAACTTCGTATTCATAGGGTCCTAAAAATTACTTTTTTTGTTGAACTTAATAAAAGTCATGTCTAATTAATTGAAATCAACAATTTAACAACAATTTATTTTACATTTAATTCAACCATTAAATTGAAAAAAGTTAAATGAAATTTGGGCAAAAATAAATCAGAAGTTTATAGGGCCCTACTAAGCACAATGAATTCAAGTCTGTGTGAAACTAATCAAGCTGTAAACCTTCTGCAGCTTTCCTTAGCTCAAACAGTAGAGAATGGAGCTAGCATTGCCACGGTCCCTTGCCCAGGGAATGCATGAACTGATAAAATGTATATCTTCAATGCAATACAAGACGCTTTGTATAAACACGTCTGCCACATGCATAAATGTAAATGCAAAATGAATGTAAAACATCAGAACAGTCTGAGCCATTGGCTAGGGCTGGGTACCGAGTTCGGTACTTTTTAGGTACCGACCGAATTGCCTCGATACTACCGAGTATCGAAACATGTCTTGTTTTTCGGTACCAAATTTCGGTACCTAAGTGGTTAATCTCGTCAACGTCAGTGAAACAATAAGCATTCAGTATGATTGGCTGTGGCGGAAAAAACACTAGTTTACGCGGCTGCCCAGAGACGCGGCTCGTCGCACGTGAGGCTGTAGTGTGTGTGTGTGTGTGTGTGTGTGTGTGTGTTAGAAGCGCACAGAATACACTTGAGAGTAATGGTGTGTTCACACCGAACGCGAATAGAGCGTCAAATACGCGTATATCGCGTCTAGTCAGACGCTTAAATCTTCCGCTCGAGTTCAAATTGTTCAACTTGCGCGGAAGACGTTCGCGGCAAACGCATCATTCGCGACGCCCGGCGCGAATGATGCGTCTATTCACGTCTTTGCATTGACTTTGTATGTAATCTACTCGCACAAATAATTAAATTCGCTTTCGGTGTGAACAAACCATTAGTAAACACTTGTTCATTAATAAATAATTAAAATATCTCCTTGCTATTGTTTCCACATCCATAATCATTAGGCTACTTTTGCCAGTGCTTTGCGGCAAGCTTCACGTGCTGAGCGCGAGGCATATAGGCTACAGTATCCCGCCCCCCAGTAGCCTATATTTAATTTAATTCACATTTATTTGTATAGCATTTTTCACAATAGATATCGTTTCAAAGCCAAAATATGAGTGTAAAAAAGTAAACAAACTGAAAAAGAAAAAAAATTAGGTAATGTTATATTGTTAAAACTGGTTACACAAAATTGGTATCGAAAAAAGTATCGTTCAGGAACCGGTATCGAAGTCAAGGTATCGGTATCGGTATCGGTATCGAACATTTTGTTACGATACCCAGCCCTACCATTGGCATTTACCTGTGTTGGTGAGGTAACATACCTAAGCCAGTGGCGCTTGCTTGTGTTGGTGTGACAGCAGATGGCATCATATTGGTCCGCCAACCAAACAATGAGGATGATGTAGAAGGCAGTGGTTGTGTCATTGAAAAACTCAGACATTATGGCCTCCATCCCTACAGACAGGATCAAAAAGAGGCATTTAATTCCAAACAACCTTCATAAAATGTTTTGATAAGAAACTATCATGTGATTATAGTATGATGTCAATAAATTAACAGATCAGGCATCAAGTTGATAGGAGACACAAACAGATATGAGAACATTTTTCCAAAACCTCAGCAGTGATCTCTACCTACCCACAAGAGCTAGGATGACAGTGAGAAGAGGGGCGGCAGGGAAGGCAATGGTCATATTCATCTCCAACATCTGGAGAAGGTCCACTGAGACAGAGGAAATCAGAGAGATGGACCTTTTAAAAATTGGCTTTTTTATGAACTTCATCTTGGAACATGATCATAGATGCTGATGCAGTGGTAAAGATCTGAGAGGCTGATGGGAGCCTACCTATAAAGACAAAAATCTGGTGGTGTGAGTACCGCAGCAGCATGGAAACGGACAGGGTCTGAAAGAGAAACAAAAAAGACTTGTGGATGATGGAATTTTGCATTTGATTCAGTGTCGTATTAACATTGAAGACTCATCTCTCCATGGTCCAAGTGACTCAAAAGAATAGTCCACACAAAAATGACAGGTCTGTCATCATTTACCCACCCATATGACTTTCTATATTTAATGAATCCTAAAAAAGTCAATTTCTGAAGAATATCCTGATCATTTTTTTTTTTAGATTATGAAAGTGAATTACAACACTGGACTATCAAGCTCCAAAAAGCATTAAACACATTTCATGTTAAATGTTGTCCATGTGACTTTTCTGAAGTTATATGATAATGTGAGTCAAGTGAAAAACAGATCAAAATTTTGGTTATTTACTGTACTGCACGTTCGTGAATTAATCATTCTTTCCCCAAACTCACTAATGATTATGTCACAAGCTTCTATCTTAAAGCAATCATATAACAGAAAATTCAGAATATTGCACGTGGGTCACTTTTTAGGATATTTTAGTTTTTAGGATATTTTAGTGAACATTCATTGTAATTGCGTGGGGGGAAAAGTAACTAGAACATTGTTAAAATTTCACCTAATGTTCCACTCACAAAAAGTCATGAGAATGAACAAATTGAGGACTAATTACCTAAATGCAGAAACTGAACTAATGTGATGACATCACACCTACAATCCAATCACTAACAAGCACTCTAGTCTGTAATGCAGAGGCAGTTAAAGTAAAGTACTCACAAAGATAACCATGATTACAAAGGCTGCTAGGTACGAGGTACGAGCCATCCACATACTGACAAAACGGTAGTGTTCTCCAGAGACCACATTTCTCAAGAACCCTAAAAACAAGCAAATCACATTCTCATGTCATAGTTATACCTTCATCAAAAGAAAAAAATTTTCTGAGAGAGAGAACTTCTAATTTACCTTTGTTTTCCTCATTCTCTGCTAAAGCCTTCACACTGGACATCAGGATATCGTCATAACCCAGGCATTCGTCTAGGAGGAAGCGACTGAAACCATCTCCAAAGCACTGATCCTTCATGGGGTCTGCAGACAGACCGAGAGAGATTCTGGTTACTAACACAACAGTACTAACTGGCACTGCATTTCTTAAAAAAAAAAAAAGTTAAATACAGGGGTTGGACAATAAAACTGCAGAAGTTTAAAGGTTGAATCAGCAGAGCAATAGCACAGCTGTACATAAAATATTGCAATCCCCACAACATAATGGGAGACAGAGTTCAAAAGAGGATAAAGTTTTGGTGTGCGTCTTGCTGGCTGATCTGTAACATGGACAGCAGGTCTTTGCGGTGTATCGAAAGCTATGGTATCCAGAGTAATGATGGCATACCACCACATAAGACGAACCACATCCAACAGGAGTAACTGTGTTGACGCAACAGGAATCTGTCTGAAAGGGATATCGAGGAACTAACCCTGATTGTATCCAAAAAACATAAAACCACAACTGTCCAACTCACTGCAGAATTAAATGCGGAACTCGACTCTCTTGTTTCAACCAAAACTGTTCGTCTAAAGCTCCACAGAGACTTTTCATGGTCGAGCTGCTATAGTCAAACCTTTGGTCACTCGTGGCAATGCCAAATGTTGGTTTTATTGGTGCCAACAGAGCAAATCTTGGGCTGTGGACAATGTGAAACATGTATTGTTCTCTGATGAGTCCACCTTCACTGTCTTTTCCACATCCGTGAGAGTTACGGTGTGGAAGAGCCCCAATGAGGCTTCACACCCGGATTGTTGCTGCCCAGAGTGAGCACGGGGGTGGATCAATGATGTTTTGGGCTGCAATGGACTGAGCAAGTCAGAAAACATTTTCCTCCACCAGCATCAGTGACCTGGCCACTGTTCTGGAAGAGGAATGGCTCAAAATCCCTCTGGCCAATGTGAAGGACTTGTATCTGTCATTCCCAAGACGAATTAATGCTGTATTGGCCGCAAAAGGAGGCCCTCCACCATACTAATAAATGATTGTGGTCTAAAACCAGGTGTTTCAGTTTCATTGTCCAACCCCTGTATGTCTGTCTTATTCGAACAGTTCACCAAAAAAATTAATTGTTATGGCATTTTTTTTTACTCACTCTCATATCATTGAAAACTTGTATGACCTTTTCATGAAAAACAAAAGTGACTTTCTGAAGAATATCATCCTGCAACCCTATTCAATACTATGAAATGCAATGAGGACTGGGGTGTTAAAAGGGATAGTCCACTGGAAAAACAAAACAAAAAACAATTCGAGCATCATTTACTGACCCATGTTGTTCCAAACCTGTATGGCTTACTTTCTAAAGCGGAACACAAAATATAATGTTTTGAAGAATGCTCAGTTCCCATTGACTTCCACTGTATTTTTAGTCCACACAATGGAAGTCAATTGATAATATAAACATGTGATTAGTCGACTAATCGCTTAAATGAACGACTACTAGTCGACTAGAAATTTTTGGGTGGACTATCCCTCAAACAGCATGAAGGTCAGTAAACAACTACAATTTAAATTTTGTGGGTGAACATTACCAAGAATATTCTATTTTGTGGAAAAAGAGGATTGTGGGTATGGGCAGGTTTTCTGTTGATGTCCTGGAAGGTGTGATGTACTCACCCAGGGTCACCACCATAACAGGGATGTTGAGTCGCTGACGTGTGGCCTGGGACAGCCGAAGGAAACCATATTCCAGAGAATATTCCACAATATACTCTTCTTGGGGCCACACTGCACAAAAACAAAAACTGATCAACGCTGACAACATTTCACTGAATTCAGAAGTTCTACCATTAATCTTAAAATCCGTCACTTCACACCAATGGTAGAATGTTATAAAGTTTTTGTATTAAAACAAAAAAATATATACACTGATTATATTGTCATCAATCTTTTCTAGTTACAGAAAAATATTAAATATGCAAAATAAAAATGTTTCATAAATGTCCTTTTAAAGGGATAGTTCACCCCAAAATAAATTCTGTCATCATTTACTCACCCCAAGTTGTTCCAAACCAGTACGAGTTCCTTTTACTGTTGAACACAAAAGAAGATATTTTGAAGAAAATGGGTAACCAAACAGTTGTGGGGCACCATTGACTTCCATAATATTTTTTTTTCCATAATATGGAAGTCAATGGTGCCCACAACTGCTTGGTTACAAAATATATTACTTGGTTCTTCAAAATATATTCCTTTGCGTTCAACAGAAGAAAGAAATTCAATTTAACAAAAAAATAACTCATTTGTACTGTACTGAATTAGAGACACTTATATATTATATCTTACTACAGTCATTGGTGTGTGACGCAGCACATGTGGCCTTATAAAAGGGTAAGGTCATAAAGGAATGTGGGAATAGAAAGGAAATCTGACCAGGGGAAGCGAGGAGGGCTGCACTGGATGGAGGGAGGAGAGGGAATGAATTCACACAGGAGGAAGAGGAGAAGGACCAGATGGCTACGGAGTGGGGCGTATTTGAGATGTTTACCTGCTCGAGTTAGCATCTCAATCTCGGAGACAGTCTCCCTCAGCGGCTGCATACCTTTAGAGGGGGCCTGGCTGAAGGACAGATCCTGGGATTCATTCAGGCTGGAGCCATGAACACCGCTGCTCATCGATGGATTCAGCCGCGGCTCGATGTCCAGCTCAAACTGCATTTGTGTGTGAGCGATAGAGAGAGCGATAAAGAGAGCGATAGAGAGAGCGATAGAGAGAGCGAGAGAGAGAGAGGGCACTGTCAGAAAGATCTGAAGAAGGGTGGCCTTTTTAATGGAATGATTCACAAAAAATTATATTGTATAATTTACTGACCATCATGACATTCCAAGCAATTCTTTACCAAGGAGCACCCATAATGCTTTTTCAAGAATATTCATGTAATTACTACCTTGTATGAGGACCAAACTGAAATTGTGTAATTAAAATTATATATAATACATTCTATATAATTTATATCAAGTGCTATTATATCATAGCACATTTAAAAACAACCACAGTTGACCAAAGTGCTTAATGTCAGGACACACACAAACTATATAACTTGGTAGTTAAAATAATAATAATAATAATAATACGTGGTTATAATTATTATTAGTAGTAGCAGATGTAGTATATATAATATATCATTAGAACTAATAAAATTACAATTATTTAATTAAATAATATACAAATAAAAAAATAATATTAATTTACTGTTAGGCAACTGCATGCTATTCTATTACTTTCACATGAATTAATTCTACATAATTTTATAGAAAAGAGCTTAAACAAAAATATTTTAGAATATTCATGCAACTTTTCTATAAAAAGACAGTTTATAGAGATCTGTGAAGTAAAAAAAAAAACAAAAAAAACACCATGAGTCCATTTAACTTGTTTGAGGATTATTTAAATTGATACAGTTAATATTATATATATATATATATATATATATATATATATACAAAATACATTTTATAAAATAATAATAAAAGTGATTTATTTACTATACATTATATTTATTAAAAATAGATTTTTTTTTTTATTCACCCTTTTCTGTGATTAATCGCAGTTAATTGCACACTTATCGTGAAATAATCGTGAAATTATGCATACACCATTTATCTTGTTTAACACGTTCATTGTCATCATTTTCTATATCCAGCAAAGTAGGGATGCACCGATACCCATACTAGTATCGGCCTGATACTGTGCTCGTGTACTCGTATACCAACAACCGATACCACGCAGTGTGTGTGCACAGTGTTTGTGTCCAGGCAAAGAAACACTGACAACAGAGAGTATAATGGAGAGAAAAGAGAAGGCCGTCTAAGTAAATGGATCTAATTAGTGGAACATTATACAAATGATAGCAATATCTATATAGCTTTGGTACATGAGCTGATACGTGGAAAACGCGCAGTGGATTAAGCAGGCAGGGGCACAGACACGCAAGCTTGTCAAGCGCATCCCTTTTTCACAGACATCAGTAGAAAGTTTGTAGTTCTGTCAGATATGTCAATGGCAAAGAAAGTAAAACGAAGCATGTATTATTAACGTTAACTGATGGGAGAGACAGAGAGAGAGAGAGAGAGAGAGAGAGAGAGAGAGAGAGAGAGAGAGAGAGAGAGAGAGAGAGAGAGAGAGAGAGAGAGAGAGAGAGAGAGAGAGAGAGAGAGAGAGAGAGAGAGAGAGAGAGAGAGAGAGAGAGAGCACTTCTGTTGCATGCTCTTGGTTGCTGATTGTTCACTCGTACATGTACATAAAACATGAACTGTTTCGTTTATTTATGTATAATGAGTGGTTCCTTAAATTACAGGACCTTTGCAGGTCAAGAATTTTCATGAATACAAACATCAGAAGCGTGCGCCAGAAAACCGTGTAGACAGCACGCAAATTGAATTTAATGCGCTTGAACAGATGAATTCAAAATTATGTAAAAACTTCATCTTGGGGACTATTCTGGTAAACATAGACGGTTATATCTTAATGAAAGTAAACGTAAACGTGAAATGTGTCGTTGTTTCCCCACACATTCAGAATAAGCACATAAGCATAAATGGTTTGTTTCCGCATCAATATAACGGACTGCCGCATCATGCAGCTTACTGCACAACTGCTTTACATCACTGCAATCGTTACAATCCTCATCCATTAAGGGGGCTTTTACACTGGGCTCGTTTGCTGCGGTCCGAGCCCGAGCGCGTTTGTTCCCGGCGCCCCCCGCAGCGTTGGTCTGGTTTCACACTCAACTTGATTCTATCGAACCCATAGACTGTAAAAAAAGATGGACGACGCCCCTTCGCTCTTTTCCATTGGAGAGAACTGAAGCCGCCAGTGTCCCGATATGTCGCTGACATATTGGAACTTGAGTCTGCGCGGTAGCGTTTTCGGGACCAGTCATGCGCAGTCGTGAGCAGGAAGTAAAGCCGCGAAATCAAAGCCCCGCCCTCACGCTCGTTGAATCAATCGCAAGCACACGCCCTGCACTTTTCTTAAGTGGCCTTGTCTGCTCCGTTCCTCTCCAATAATGTCTGCCGATTGCAGTACCTCGTTAAAATAAGGTAAATACAACCACTGAACACATAGTCAACATTATGAAAAAAAGTCTGTGCGTGCTTCAGTGACTACTTCACACAGAGAACCTGTCAATCACAGCTGTCAATCATGATGTCACAGCACCGTTTTTATAGCATCAAATAACTAACTAAAAACTAACTTATTTTAAAAACAAACACTTGAAATTACATCAACGTGATAGAAACTACAGTAAATGACAGAAACTATCTTTAGAAAAAAGATATGTGAAGTGTAATTTAATTATTTTCTTGGTCTCACGTCCCGTTGAATAACATGGGGAGGCGGGGTTTATGAGCTATACTAGGACCGGTCACCGGGGGGCGATCGAGACGTTTTGGCTTCACTTTTGAGGGCTTGTGCGGCACGCTTGATCGAACCCTGGTGCGTTCGCGACGCGTGCATTTTACGTCATCGCAAACGTGCACGCCGCATGATAGAAAACAGAACGCGGGTCAATATTGTGTTTTTTTATTAATTCGCTGCTATTATGCGCAGTTGAGTGAACAATACAGGATTACTGTGAGTGTGTCACATAGGCCTCGTTTACACTGTCAGTGAAATGTGACCCAATTCCGATTTTTTACTCGTATGCGACACAGATCGGATGTGTTCTATGACAGTGTAAACAGGAAAAAAACGCATGCATTCGGATATTTCGAGATCGGTTTCAGGCCTCGTTCATATGTGGAAATAAATCAGATGTAAATCGGATATGTGCCAATGCGACTGTCATGTGAACAGGCAGATCGGATTTTCCGAGGCATTAGGCTACGTCTCCACGGTTTAATGACGAGAGAAACCCCGACGCGCATCTGCAAAGGGACGGATGGCCCGACGAAACATGTCGTCGTAGGAGAGGAATGTGGACACACGTTGACACAACATATCAAAGGTTGGCTTGCACATCCTAATATTTTGGACCCACTGCTCCTCGTTAAAGCCCGCCACGATCTCATGAAAGTGCGTTTATTGCACGATTTTTTTTTCACGTGGCATTTACGCCAAAAATAGTTTTTGCGTGCATGATACGCACTTTATGGCGTTTAATACGCACGTTTACAGTGCGTATCATATACAAGCAAAAACTATTTTTGGCATATAAATGGCATGAGAAATAAAATTTGTGCTATAGATACTCACTTTTATGAGATCGTGTTGTATGTTCCCACCTGTCCTGAGATATCGCTGCACGTTCGTCCATCTGAGCAAGAAGAACCCTTTAAACATGCGCGATGTTTCAGTCAAGTGTAAACACATGACTCGGATATGGTTCACAATTTAAAGAACGTGTAAACGGACGGTAAAAAAATCGGATATAGGCAACAAATCAGAATTGGGCATCAAGACCTGCAGTGTAAACGAGGCCATAAGGTGGCCCTCTGCTCCTTGCAAACGGACTCTTTTGAGGAGACAGAGGATTTCCAAATGTGGTGCCCTGATTTCACGCGCAATGCACGGATACACTGCAGGCTCACTCTCGCTCGTATCCAAGGTAAATAATCAACACTATCATCCCTTACAAGTTTTTTATTTAACTGAATACATCACAATAAGCTAAAACGCATCCGCAGGTCACTTTACTTCCTGAATAAGTGCGCACCCGAGTCCGTGCTGCTTTCACATTCACGAGAACCGCGGCACGGGAGCAACCGAACTCAGACCACCTCCTCCAGGTAGTCTCGGGTTCGGTACCCCAGCGCGCACCCGGGTCCCATGACAGCGTTCACATAAGCTTTTTTAAGCAAATTTAAGACCAAACCTGTGATGGAAATACACATTATATTACAAACGTATATGTAGGCTAATATTTATTATAAAACGGTTAGTTACAATCCTTGATTCTGATTGGTCAATAGCTGTGCTTTATTCACGATAAAACACGGCTATGACCGCTTCACCCAACGGTTCTATTTATCACTGCGCCCTTAGCAACACCCTTAGCAACCACACGTATCAACATAAACAGACAAAAAACGTAAGAATTAAAAAGGCTAAAATGTTTAAAGTAAATTTCGATTTATTAGGTGGCATGACGATGGATAAGTGGTTTGAGGAACAATTTGTAGAGACTTCTACAAATATGAACCGTCATGCTGAAGTGCTGAAATGTAACATTGATACATTCGAGAAGACTCGTAATGAAAAAAATACCGTGCAGCAAACCCGATGGGCAGTGAAATGCTTCGGTGACTGGTGTAGTGAAAAGGGTTGCAGCATTGATTTTAAACAAATCACCAAGACGGAACTCAACGCACTTCTCCGTGACTTCTACGGAACTGTCAGAAGCTCCAAAGGCGAAAAATATGGGATCAGTAGCTATGTAGCGTTACGTGCGGGTGTGAACAGATTCCTGAATGATCCACCTTTGAGTTTGTCCTGGTGTCTGATGAGAGACAGCGAATTCACCTCATCCAATAATGTTTTCGTTGGAGTCGTAAAGACAATGAGAAGAGAGGGTCGTGATAAAACGGAGCATCACACATCGATTTCTACGAAAGATTTCAGCACCATAAAACTGTCCGATGCGCTTAATCCTAACACACCTGAAGGACTCGTTAACAAAGTCTGGTTTGACGTGCAGTTACACTTCGGACGTAGAGGAAAAGAGGGGAACCGAGAACTCATTCCAGACTCATTCCGCATTTTAACAAACGAAAATGGTGTAAAGTATGTCACAATGAGCTTCAATGAAGACACAAAAAACCATAAGGACCCACATGACAGAAATAAGGAGAGCAGGCGTGGCTTCATGTTCCAACAAACTGGGAACCCGCTTTGTCCCGTTGCCTCTCTAGAGAAGTACGTTTCTCTTCTGCCATCTAACCCCCCTGCTTTTTACCTTCACCCCAAAAAGCAAAACCTCTCTAAATGTGTTTGGTACGTAGATCACGCAGCGGCACATAAATCATATTAGCTATTTATAATTTGTGTTAAATCTTGTTGTGTTAAAGTTTTTTCTCGTTTTTGACTGTTGCAGGTACACAAGAGAGCCTATGGGTGTGAACTACCTCGCAACAATGTTGCAGAGAATTTGTAAAGCAGCAGGCACCTCAAAGGTTTACACAAATCACTGCCTTCGCAGCACCATGGTGCAGAGATTGTCCGATGCTGGTCTCGAATCGAGGGAAATTATGTCTGTGAGTGGACATAAGTGTGAAAGTTCACTACAGAGCTACTGGAGGCCAAACTTAAAACAAAGAAAGCACTGGAGCGACATTCTTGCTGCAACAGAAAACACTGCTGACAGTGCTGAGCCCCAACTAAAGAGAACCGCGTTAAATATCACCACAGTGGAGCCGATTGAAATGAGACAAATATTTAATGCGTGCACAATTAACGGAGATGTTCAAATAAATTTAAATAAACAACAATAAAAAAGAATCTCTTGTTAGGCAGCATTTTAATAACTGAATTGATAACATTAATAAAATAGATTAAAGACCTAACTGTTATCTATCAAAATATGTGCCCTTGTGTTTTTATTTATAGGCTATGTAAATATTTAGTTTAGTGCAGAGAGAAAATAACGGAATAAACAAAAAAGTAAACGTTTTCTCATGCTGAGAGATAAGCTATGCCTATTTGTGTGAGGAAATTTCACAAATATTGTGTTGTAAAAAATAAAAAGAATGAGACAAGTTTGAGAACGGTTTGTTGTTTTTATTTGAGCTTTCATGCATATTACACATTGGAACGTTGTTGTTCACGGTCAGGGACTATTTTTTTTCTAGCGGAAGGAATGCTTTTAATGCTTTTATTGATTTAACTTCCATGAAATTTCCACTAATAATTTTTTTTTTCTTTAATATTGTGTGGTAACCGTTTTATAAAAGCAATAAGGTACTCGAGGCAAGTGCTGTATCGTGAATAAGTAACGGCTGAAGGGGTTGCAGGCACTCCGCTTCGCGTCGTGCCTAACAACGCCCTTCAGCCGTTACTTATTCACGATACAGCACAGCCTCTCGTACCTTATTGCTTACATGTAGGGCTGTCAAATGATTAATCGTGATTAATCACATCCAAAATAAAAGTTTTTTTTACATAATATATGTAGGTGCACTGTGTATAATTATTTTATATATATAAATACACACACATGCTTGTATATATTTAAGAAATATTTTCATGTATATACTGTATATAGATTTATATATAATTTATATTATATATAAATATAAATATTTTATATATAAATAATATTTTTTACTTAAATATACATGCATGTGTGTGTATTTATATATATACAAAATAATTATACACAGTGCACCCACATATATTATGTAAAAAAAACTTTTATTTTGGATGTGATTAATCGTGATTAATCATTTGACAGCCCTAATTTAATGTTTAGCCTGACCTAAGTAATTTAATATTAACTACTTGTTTAATGAACTAAAATCAATGTTACATTTGCAATCGTGAGAATATTCAGCAAAATAGCTCCCGTCATGTTATGTTACTATATCATATGTGAATTTTTACCTCAGTATGTTTCTTCAGTGAGTTTTTTCATTGTGCTGTTATGCTCGTTTGTTTTAATTTATCACTATAAAATCTCTCACAAAGACAGGCGAGTCTCAACAGCGCTACCAGAAATACACAATCATTATCAATCGCTGTTTATGTAATAAAATCAGAATCATTCTCGCGATTCGATGCTTCGCTGGTTATTTGACGGACATTGGGTCCGTCAGACAGGAGAAATTTTAGCGGTAATGTGACCAGAAATATTTAAGACCCATCGAATCTGAATTTAAGACATTTTAATACTTTTTAAGGCTTTTTATTAGGAAAACTTTATTTAAGACATTTTAAGACTTTTTAAGGACCCGCGGCCACCCTGATATTATATTATTTTAACTAATTATTTCAGTTTAAGTTATTGTTATTTGGAGTTAATGTTATATAAATAATAATAATAAAAGTGACACATTATAATATATTATTTAAATTACAACTACAATAACATACAATAATTTCAATTAATATAAATATTTAATTAAATTAGAAATGATTGTTATTTCACTGTTTGGTATATTGCATGCTATATTCTCTTATTTTCACATTAATTAATTATATTTCATTGTATAGAAAAGAGCTCTTCCTCTAGTGTTTCACAGAAAACATGACAAAAAATTAGTTAGGAAACGATAAGTCAAATAAATGTTCAATTTTTTATTGATTTTTTTCCTTTTAATGCTTGGCTCTCAATCCTTGGTTTCCTGTTAAACTCACCCGTACTGTGCTGTTGTCAAACATCTCCATGGTCATCTCTTCCTCCTCTTCAGCGTCTGCCGGCACCATTGGCTGTCTGGTTTCACTTCCGTCGTCCTCCGATTCCTTCACGAGCCCCTGGATTCCCTCCGTCTCGTAGAACTGAAGAAAGATGGGTGCGCGGCTGGAGTTGCGCTGGATCTCCACACGCAGGATGCCATCGCGGGGCCATTTCTCCCGCACATGCTCCAGGCAGTTGATTGGAGAGCGGGAGAACGCAATGTGGATGTAGGCCAGGATGAAGAGCATAAACAATGCCTGCCAATCAAATGCCATGAAATTAAAGTCAAGATAAACTCAAATGTGCACACAAACCAGTTTAGGCAACAAAGCATTACCTAAACATAGCACTTCCATAACATGGATGGCATATATGATATATGTATAAAAAAAACACTCCTTTGAAAGTTCTTCACTTAAACTGAAATTGAGATTATGTAAATTATTTCATCATAGTCAGTTCTAATGCTTGTTTATATTTAGTTTATTGCAGAAAGTAGGGCAAAATCTGCTTAATTAATTGTGACTGCCATTTTACAGCAAAAGTGGGTTAGCTCAGATCCAGAATCTACCAAGGTGTTGTCAATAGATTATGCATGCAATATTTACTCAAAATTCACTAAAAACATTTGGAAACAGCAAATGTGCATTAATACATTTGTTTCAATTACAATTTTTAATATGCCACACATTTTTTTACATGTTCTTCAAACACGATTTAGTTTTTTGTCAAATAAGATAATTAATATACATTTATGAATGCAACAATTTTTATAATTTCATCATTTTGTTGGATAATGTCAAACATTTTAAACACCTTTAGGATACTTTTCCTTGTCAGCCAAAAAAAAAAAATCTCTTACAATTTATGTACAGTAATTGTTTCACAGCTTTATAATTTAGCAAGATTATGAACTGCGACAAAATTTTGTGGTTAGCTGAGAGACACGAGTGCCTCACTAACTTAACAGGTAATTCTTGAAGCAGATCTACATGCCAACAACATTTGAATAAAATCATTTCTGTGTGCACCTGTTACAGTGATTTCTGAGTTTATGATTGAGTTTCCTGTGGGGGTTTCCCCCCCCCCAAGATGATCAGGTAGACGCTTGAATATTAAATACGCTGTTCTACAGTTCAGGCTTATTAATCATCCAATAGCTGTCTGTTTTAAGATTATCTGCATTGGCTGATAACCATGACACTTGGCCAACTAACCTTGTTGTGGCATCTTGTGTCAGTTCCAAAGTCTGATGACAGCCTTGTCAATGGATATTAAACATTTTGTGAAACTAAAATAATTTGAGAATTGAGTAAATATTTTACATTTTATTTATATTTATTTACAATGTTAAAAAGTTTGGGTTCAGTGATAAAAATTACTTTTTTTGTTAAAAAACATTTCATATATATATATACACATATTTTTTTATTAAAAAACATTACATATATAAAATTTATTTGTGTTCTGTGATGAATAGAAAGATAAAAATAAATGCTTTTTATAAAAAATATATCTATAATAAAAATATTAATCAGAACAACTCTTTTCAAAATTGATAACAAATGTTGTTTTTGATAACAAAATGTTTCTTGAGCAGCACCATATCGGGATTTTTGAATTATTTCTGAAGGATCACAAAGACTGCTTAAAATTCAGCTTGCCATCACAGTAATAAATTAAATTATAAAATATATTCAAACAGATATTTTAAATTATAATATTTCACAATAAACATTTTTTTTAAGTTATTTTACAATATTACCGTTTTACTGGATTTTTGATTAAATGTAGCCTGGGTGAACTTAAAAACTTCCCAAATAACTTTTATTAAATTTTACCGACCCCAAACTTTTGAACATTAGTGTATACACATTTATTTAATTTGTAACGCATTAAATATACATGAAACATTAATACTGCATATTATGAAAGTAAAATGGGTTATTTTCAAATAATACAGGACACAAGAACAAAAAGGTAAAGGGGGACTGTCTCTGTGAAGTCATTTCAGAGATTATATTTATAATAATAATAACATTCGATGAAAAATGACAAAGTTTGTTATGACGTCCAATGATGATTCAGTGCAGGAACATGCATTAGCAATTTTGCCATTAGCCATTTTGATTTAATGCCTCGTTCAAAGTACATTGCATATACAGGAATAGACCTAAAGGTAAGACCTAAAGCCATGGGTTAATTGGAAAATAAATTATGCTGATGACCAGCATCCACCCTGATGTTTAGTGAGCTTGGCACTGCATCCCAACAGATAAACATTCAAAAAGACATCAGTCTTAGGGTGTCAGTTTAGGGCTTCTGGAAGTGATCGACAGATTCAACGCACATTAAAAATGTCAAATCTCACCTTTAACAAGACCAAGAACTCGAATATTCGTCTGAAGGATGGTGGGAAGAGCCTGGCATATGTCACTGCCATCTTAAAGAATAAGGCGTGGAAGAGTCTGTCTCTCACGTTGATCAGGGGGTTCTGGTTCATCGCGGGGTTCCGGATCCGGTTCGGCCCACCGTTATTGTTGTTGTTCAGTGGGACGTTGTTGTTCAGATTGCCCTGGTTGTCGGACATGGTGGTCGTTGTTCAGTAACTTGATAAGGAAAAAGACCAACTGAGGTCAGGCAGAAAGAAACTTGCGCAGATCCAGTTGAGCAGGCCAGCAACACAACATCAGCACACACTGATGATGGTCCTGGTTCACCAAAACAGGACTGACCTTCAGAGAATCACCACAAAACACCCCAACAGATTCTGAATTTTGAAAGGATGTTGGTGGGCAAGGCTGCTTCCACTCCTACCATGTCATAGCCTAGCGATCTAACAAACTACTAAAGCTTCAATGCCTTTGACGCCCCTGTGGATCATATATATATACCGTGAGACCAGAGGAGCATGTCAGACTGTTAAATTGTGTTTTAGGCTCAATTTGTCCTGCAAGTGTGACTCAGGCCTCCTGCACCCACTGTCACCCCAACCAAAATAACTAAACTTGCTAACTCACACCAGCTAAATTAATCATATTTACTCTGGTTTGGAAGTGAAATCTGTCCCAGACTATGTAGCGGAGTGTTTAAAAGCAAAGAAAAGTGGAATATCACACAGCACGTCTGCTAATAGTGGTAAGCTAACAAATTAGCCGAGCTTCCTCTGAAGAACCCGTATGTTCGGTTTACTTTTTAACAAACACCTCCTCGTATAACACTGACACTCTTCGGTTAATTAAGGCCTTAGATACGTGATGATATCCCGCCAGAACTATCCGATGGTAGCGACGTCAACGTGTCTTACAGACCATCTGTTTACACAACCATTTTCGAGAGCTGAGAGGACTTGGGAGCAGCAGCCAAGAAGCTTTTAATGAGGGAAGCGTTTCCACTCTGGGCTCGCTTCCGCGTTTAGTCACGCGACATCGAGTCACGTGATTTTTGAAGACGCAAAAATCTAAACGATTCCACATAATTTAACTTCATATCATGTACAATACTTTAATAATATATTTATATTTTTTCTGTAATTTATAATTTCACTAAATTGCAATGATTTTTTTCAGTTTGTGTCAGTACAAGTTAAATAGCGCATGGTTTATAAGTACCGAATATTTACTCTAGTTTGGCAGGAAATAAGTTAACACTTTTCTGCGTCCGAAAACTTAGGTAGCTGACTTGTTGTCTCGCTGCCCTATCAGGCAATGACTTTGCAGGCAGCGTCTGCGCACGAATGTACCTCACGAAACTGATTTCGGACAAACTTCTGAGGCAGCATAACGGGTTTATGATCCACAGCAAAATAGAGAGAGCTTTGGTGGAAACTAAAAGAATGTTTAATGACTACAATAGTAATTTCTCGCTAGAAATGTCATAATAGGCATTTTGTTTTTTTTCAAGCTCATTACGGAATGGAACGCACAGGATTGTGGGATATCAAAGGCAGCGAAGGATACATGCTGCCTTCAAACATCGATCTGATGAAGGTATCTTACGGGAAGTGAAACATTGCAATCTTCGGACGTGCCCTGATACCTTCCGTCCTTGAAATGCGTCCTCCGAAGGCGGCATTTATCAATTTTCGGCATAGACAGGTTTTCGGACGCAGACAGGGATTGTTGCGATCTCATGTGAGTGACAGGTTGTTCCACCCTAGGGCCTGTGAACACGTCATCAAAGATGCAAGAGGGAGAGGAAGATACTTTGATTAAAAAAAAAAAGATACTTTTTTTGTATCTTTTGGGCACATGAATTAATATAAAAATCATTTATGATGAATACTGCAATATTCCATAAAAAAATAAGAATTTACTTTTTAACTCAATTAATGGTTTACGATACTTAAAGAAGGGTATGTTATTGGAGAGTGGAAGGGCTAGTCAGCGCAGCAGCTACGGAGCATTTCATTCAGTGGAAGTACCACTTGCACAGTATAGCGCCTAGTTGTGGTGGGATGACTACAGGTAAAAACACAACATAAGATATTTATTTTACAATGGCAGAATAAAGAAGAAAATAAAGATACGTAGCCTATACATTAAGTCCACTTTAAAGAAAGAAAGAAAGAAAGAAAGAAAGAAAGAAAGAAAGAAAGAAAGAAAGAAAGAAAGAAAGAAAGAAAGAAAGAAAGAAAGAAAGAAAGAAAGAAAGAAAGAAAGAAAGAAAGAAAGAATACATACAGTCCTCCAGTCCAATAGGGGGCAGCACGTCTTAGTTGAGTCTCTAAACACGGAAAGAATAGACGAACATAGACGCTCAGTGATGTGCCGCTTTAATATGCCGATAAAAGTATTAGAAATGAAATAGTTTACAAAAAGAAGAAGAAGAAATTAAATAGTTTTCGTAATGACAGGACAATTATACTTTAACACATTTCTCTCTTTTCTATCTCAAAAGCAGGAGCATGCAGTTTTATAACTGTTATTTCCATCGGTCTGTTCTGTTTCTTTCTGTAACCTACACTAGCAGGGATGCTAACTGTTAAGTGTTTGCTTTTTTTTTACTCACACAGTGATTGTTTATATATGTAAAGGTCTTCAGTAAAGGTATATGTGCTGTTGACCTTCAGTTTAATTCATTATATAATGGAGATCGCATATGTTTGCGAGTGGGAGAAGAGACCCAAGAGCAACCACTGTCCCTCAATCCCTCTGGTGTGCGCCTGGTCATGTAGAAACCTCATCGCCTTCACCACTGATCTGAAGAATGAGGAGGATGACAAAGGTCTGGACAATGCCTTTATTACCAATATTATCAGACCCGTTGGTGAGTTATAACTGGGTGATGAGGAAAAGCATACACTTTTAATTGTTTCTGAATTGGAGATGCCCAGAGCATCAGTGTTTTTGATGAGATACTGTACTACCAACAACAATAACAAGAATGAGGGGATAATTCATTTATGAACGGATGTCTTTTTCTGCTGTAGATCTGAGTCATATGATACACATCATTGACACTGATCACCCCTGGGATGTGTACTCAATCAACTCTGGTCACACTGAGGTCATTTCCTGCCTGGAATGGGACCAGTCAGGTCAGTCATCATGATTAATTTATGGATCATGAAATGTGTGAAACCTCTGGAAACATGTCCAGGTAATAATAACAATTAAAATGAGAAATAGGATCTATATATATATATATTTTTTCATGTGCCCTTGTAATCTTTAATCAAAGTATCTTCCTCTCACTCTTGCATCTTTGATGATGTGTTCACCGGCGCTGAAGTGTTCAGTTCTCCTTGTTCTAAATGGGTATTCTCACTTTTGTGATGGAGTAATTTTAAAAAGTGTTACGGTAATGTGATAATTTTAGTTAAATCAGCATAAATTAGAGACAGAACAATAGATGCTACTGTAATGTATAAAAAGTTTCAACATTTAATCATTTAGAAGAAGCTTTTATCCAAAGCAACTTACAAATGATGAGAAAAATAATTAATATCATCATTTCATAATTTATCATCTGGGGAGGGAAAATGTAAAATGTAGATCCAAAATACTGCAAATCATGGTTATTATCATTACCTAAAACTGTTACAAACTGAACTGAGCTGGACGTTGACATCACTGTTTTCTCCAGAGAAAACAGTGATGTCTTACACTAACGATAAATTAACTAAGGATCTTTACTTGACAACGATATACTAAAAATAGAAACCTTTTTTCCTCTGTACGACAACATTATCAAAATGATTCCCATTCAACATCGATCAGCGAAAACGACTAAAAATGCTGCATTGTGCATGCCAGACAAGAAATTGGCAATGTCACTTTGCAAAGAAGGACCACTATCACTATCCCACTATCACTGTAAAGCTGCTTTCGAAACAATCTGTATTGTAAAAAGCGCTTTATAAATAAAGGTGACTTGACTTGTTAATTGAAACAGAGCTAAAACAAAATATTAGAGGAAAAATGAAAATTAGAAAAGTTTCCTTGCCAACTGAAGTAACTTAAATAAGCACTAAAATTACTAACTGGAAATAATGAACTAAAACTGAACTAAAACCGAAAAAAAAAGAGCAATCAAACCTAAATAGTAAAATTAATTTTAAAACCCTCATAAAAATAACAAGAAAAATGAAAATATACAAATTAAAGCTAATTAAAACTATTAATAAAATAGTTATATATATATATATATGTGTAACTCAATGAGATGTATGTATTAAATGTACCGATTTATATTGCCATAATTAAATCAATACATAATATGCTGTATTGTCATATGAATGTCACAATGCAAGAAATAAGCTTTATTTTTGATATTATAAAATTTATTTATTATGATAATAAATAAAATGATTTATATATTTTTTATTTTAAACTTCGTGTTAACTGTAAGCCAGACATGTTCTTGAAAGGTTTCTTGAGATTCGCCTACAGATTTAAAAATCTCCTCACCATTATCACCACTTGTTTGTGTGTGTTGTGGTCCGCCAGGCTCGAAGCTGTTGTCTGCTGATGGTGATGGTCATATTAAGTGTTGGGGCATGACGGAGCACCTGGTGAACAGCTGGGAGTGCACACAGAGCAGCTCAGTGGACGGAGACCCGATCGTGTCCCTCTCATGGTTACACAATGGCGTTAAACTCGCCCTGCATGTTGAAAAGGCAAGGAAACCTCATTACCGCCTACTAACTAAGGGTTAAAAAATCCAAACTAACACCCTGATGTCTTTGTTGCTCTTCAGTCTGGCTCTACGAACTTTGGAGAGAAGTTTTCCCGGGTTAAGTTCTCCCCCTCCCTCACGTTGTTTGGCGGGAAACCCATGGAGGGTTGGCTTGCAGTGACAGTAAGCGGTCTGGTGACAGTGTCATTGTTAAAGCCGAACGGGACTCTTCTGACGGCCAGCGAGAGCCTGTGCAGGCTGAGGGGTCGCGTGGCCCTGGCTGACATCGCCTTCACGGGCGGTGGGAATATCGTGGTGGCGGCCACCGATGGCAGCAGTTCTTCTCCAGTGCAGTTCTATAAAGTGTGCGTGAGCGTAGTGAATGAGAAGTGCCGCATCGACACTGAGCTACTGCCCTCGCTATTCATGCGCTGCACCACTGACCCGGTGCGGAGGGACAAGTACCCCGCCGTCACACACCTTAAATTCCTGACACGTGAAAACTCAGAACAGGTACGTCAGAAAATTCATCTTTCATACCTAAAATGACTTAGTTATTCATACTAGTTATTCATTTTTAAATGTTTAAGATGTAAATATTAAAATGGAAGGAAATGATTATTTTCATCTTCAGTATTAATTTCTTTCAAACTAAATCTTACGACCCCAAACTTTTGAATGGTAGTGTACACTGCCGTTCAAAAGTTTTGGATCGGTAAGATTGTATATGTTTTTAAAAGAAGTCTCTTCTGTTCACCAAGGCTGCATTTATTTGATTAAAAATACAAAAAAATGACAATTTAAAATAACTGTTTTCTATTTTAATTATTTTAAAATGTAATTTATTCCTGTGATCAAAGCTGAATTTTCAGCATCATTACTCCAGTCTTCAGTGTCACATGATCATTCTAATATGCTGAATTGATGCTCAAGAAACATTTCTCATTATTATCAACATTTGTCTGAAATCGAAAGCTTTTATAACATTAAACACTACCGTTCAAAAGTTTGGGGTCAGTAAGAAATGTTATTTTATTTTTGGGGGGAAAAGAATGAAAAGAAATCAATACTTTTATTCATCAAGGATGAATTCAATTGATCAAAAGTTACAGTAAAGACATTTATAATGATACAAAAGATTATATTTTAAATAAATGCTGTTCTTTTGAACTTCCTATTCATCAAAGAATACTGAAAAAAAAATGTACACAACTGTTTTCAACATTGATAATAATAATAATTAATGAATGTTTTTTGAGCATC